GATGAGTTGTCCTAGCAGGGGCGGATACAGGAATTTATTATAGGGGGGGGCCAAAAAAAAAAGTGACGTAGAATATGCTTTTTAGGGAGCCATTTTTAACCCAAAAAGCTAATATTTAACCAAATTTACAGATTTTAGGGGGGGCCCGGGCCCCATGCCCCCCCCCCTCTGTATCCGCCACTGTGTCCTAGTGTTTCCATTTTCCTCGCAGAATCTGCATTTGCCGTTGTTTCTTAGCTTCATGGCCGTTTGCACCAATTTGCATTTAAACAGCGTTTAAGTAATCACTGATTATATTTTAATCGATGATTATTTTTATTACATTTTGCACCAGATACAATGAAAGCTTGTTTAGTTAAGCTGCTTGTTTAGTTAGCTGTGGGCTACCTCCGCGGCTGTTCTGGACGAAGCCCACAATCCTGGGCGACTCTGGTTCTTGGCTGCAAATTGGGGCTTTAGGCTCCCGTTTGCTCCTTTTATTTTCCATCTTTTATTTTCGTTTCTTCATCAATTTTGTTTTTCCATCTCCTGGGTTGTACACGGTGCCTCGTTGCATCGTTTGCTTCCTGGTTTTTTTGTGTTTTGGGATCGGTTTCTTCGCTTCCTGATTCCTTACCGTACTGATGAAGCCTGAAGGCAGTTACATCAGTGTGCACTAGTGTAGGTGTGGTTGTGTGAGTGTGCGTGTCTGCACTGGTGTACACTGGTGTATACGGTTACGAGTTGTTGAGGGCTGAGCCGTTTAATCTTTTTTCTCCTTTTAAAATATTATAGTTAATCGCGGTTTAGCCTTTAAACCAAGTTTATACAAATGGTACAAGTATGGGCATCAATCTACTGAGGTGTTCGCTGAGGAGACAGTGTCCTCTTAAAAACCCCGTGACAATTCGAAGATTCTTCTTACTTAAATCAAGGAAAATCTTAAATTTTTCTAGTTCTGATTATACCCCTTCCTTAATATTCTTCAAAGGACCAAATGCGTATTTGCTAAGAGACGCCAACAGACATTTTTTTATAAAGGTTCTCAGGTTGGTTATATCAAAAGATATTTTCGGACCGTACGTAATCGAATACGAAAATATTTAAGGTCGGAGCTGCGGTCGGGACATGCACACGGCATCCATATTCCGTCCGGCCCCGTCAGAACTGTGGCTGCCGCGGCGGCAAAAGCCCGATACATCAAATAGTCAAAGCGATTGACGTTTAAGCACCACAGAGATGAAGATATCGATCGATGAGCGTAACCATCGAGAAGAGAAAGATCTCTTTCAAGCTGCATTACCAGGGAGATCCAAAGAATTTTGATCGGTTCGATAAAAATTAGAGAAGTTTTGACGAGAAGAGTTGTCTAAGGTGTCTCTGTTGCAACTTCTTTTAATACATTCATGTACCGGCGGTACGGCACACAGGTTTCGTTTCCATTAGACATGGTGCGAATTATTGTTGTTCTGTTCACTGCAAGTTTCGTTTTTGCACCAAAATCATGATCGTAAAAAACTTCTTTTAATTTCCAGAATGCTCTTGAGGCGCTGCTAACCCTATGTTGAATTTCAGAGTCGATACCTTTTCCTTTTCCGAAATCAGACTGGCGAGGTATTCGCCACATATTTCAGTAGTGCTTCTCCGATTTTTATAGCATTGTTGTGATTTTCCGGAAGGGTGCACATGATTTTAGTTTTATCGATGTTCAGCTTAAAGCCCAAAGCCTCGTATGTGTGGTCAGCATTTCTTGTATTTGCTGTAACGTTTTTGCAACTAGAGTTGTAATCTTTATATATATTAATCGGTTTAAAACGTTCTACGTTTTCCGGTGCATCTCTCCACGCCTGTCTGTCTCTCCATGTTCCATCTCCGAGAGGTCTTTCCTCCATAAACTTGTCAATCCCTTCCTGCCAACTTCTTCTCAGTCTACCCGGTTTTCTTCTTTCTGTAGGATTCCATTCCATTCCATTCTTTGAACATCCCCGTACCATATGAGTTGTCTGTTCTTTAACTCGTCCACTATTGTATGTTTAACTTCCATAATCTCTCTTATGCGTTCATTAGTTATTCCTTCGAATCTTGATTTGCTTGCTGCGCTCCTCCAAAAATCCATCTCTGTAGCTTCTAGCATTCGTTGTATTGTTTCCTTTATTGGCCACACCTCACAGCTGTATGTGGTTATACTCTGCTGTGATGATGGTATTACATATTAGTGTTTTGTTCCTGTCTGTTTATGCTTCTGTCCCACACTATCTCATTTAATACCGTGATAGCATTCCTCCCAAGTTGGTTTCGTTCTGTATCCAACTATCCATCATTTATGATTTTCATACCCAAATATTTGTATTTTGTGCAGCACTTCTTCCTTCCTTCTTCTAGTATTAGGTCTTGTTGTTCTCCTCCGATACACATATATTCTGTTTTGTTAGCATTGATCTCGAGTCCCCATTTCTGATATTCTTTTACAAGCTTACGTGTCATGTAATTTATACCAGCGTAATCTTGTGCTATGAGAGCATTTGATCGTCTGCGAGGCACAGTGTGTAGAGCATGTTATCAACTATGTGTACCCCCATATTTCTACTCTTTTGCTTCCAACCTTTGAGAACTTGTTCGAGATAGATCTTGAACAATGTTGGTGATATACAGCACCCTTGTTTCAGATCTTATTTTTCAGACCAGCTTAGTTCGTGAACGAACTAGTTCCAATGAACTATTCCGACACCGAAATAAAAGGAACTAGTTTCTGGTTTCTCAAAGAACTAGTTCCTCAGGACCTTCCGTGATCGAGACTGTGACCGATATACAATAATATATAAAAAAACAAAGTAGATATTCTAAATTTTTAGACAAAAACTAAAAGCTTGAAATGAGGAAAAATGCATTTTTTGTAAAATTTTCGTATTATTTGCTCCAATTGATTTGTGATATAATTTTTTAAACTTGAGTTTCTTTTTTAATTTTTTTTATCTGCAATAAAACTTACCTACAGTGTGTCCGTAAAGTAACGGATAAATTCATTTAAAATTCAACCGTTTTTTTTTTGGAAAAACGCTCGGACACGTCAATCTTAATTTTTAGAGGCGCTACTTTTAAACTAATTTGCTGTTATACAGGGTAGCCCAAAAAAAAGATATCACGTGACACTTCAATTTTTTAAATGGAATGCCCCGTATATTTTAATGAATATCGATAGAGCTCATCGAGACGAATTCAACGATATAGGGGTTAATAGGTCTATCTTGAACCGTTTGTTTACAAAAAATAAAAAACTTTACAGCTGTTGCAACGCTCAGCAATTATGATTTATTTTAATGACAGTGCTAAGAAATGGTGATAAGGTAATAACTTATTATTTAATAAAGTGTTCGAATTGAAATCCCTCTTGAGCTTGACAGAAACCTAAGCGGTTAATGAATTCCTCTTGAACCCTGCTTATAGTTTCTCGAGAAATGTTATCGCATTCTCTTCGAATCCTGTTTTTTAGTTCTTCGAGATTATCAGGTTTAGTTTTGAATACGACGTTCTTCAGGTGACCCCAGAGGAAAAAATCAAGGGGTGTGAGGTCAGGTGACCTTGGCGGCCATTCGATACTTCCTCGCCTTCCAATCCACTTCCCTGGAAAAACTTGATCTAGGAAACGTCTCACATAAACTGCATAATGTGGCGGTGCGCCATCTTGTTGATACCACAAATTTTCGTGTGACATTTCAGGATTATTTCTATTTGGAAATAATCCCCTTAGTGTAGGTATAAGATAAGTCTGCAGAAATTGAAGATACCTGATCCCAGTTAGAGTGTCGTCAAAAAAATAAGGCCCAATAATACGATTCTCTACAATGCCCGCCCAAACGTTGATTTTCTGAGGATATTGGGTGTGGCTTTCTCTCATCCACCTAGGGTTTTCGTTGGACCAATATCGTACGTTTTGGCGATTGACTTCTCCGTTTAAAGTAAATGTAGATTCATCTGAGAAGATTATACGTTTTACGAATAATGGATCATTATTGCACCTATCCATCAATATTTGGCAAAACTGCATTCTACGATCTGGATCATCTTCGGATAACTCCTGTACTAACTTCATTTTGTATGGGTGCCACCTCTCCAGTCTTAGCAAGCTGTGAACACAGCTTTTCGAAACATTATATTCTCGACCAACCTGACGGACACTATTATGTGGATTTTCTTCGAAAGATAAAAAAATGTTCGTTTTGGCTTCCTCACTGACAGAAGGACGTCCGCTTTTTGACAAATTATCAACAGAACCGGTTTCTCGGAATTTATTTTCTATTCTACTTACTGTTGATTGAGATATGTTCATTTCAGGATATTTATTATTGAACAAAACGCATACTTCTTTTGTGTGCGTACTCGGTCCCCATATCCAATCATCATTAAAACTTCAATTCTTTGTGTAAGTGATAACGGCATTGTACTTCAAGGCAAAGGAATGTTTAATTGATAACAAAATGCTCTGACACTCAAGTGACAAGGCTAACAATAAGACTGGTGTTTACTTAGCGTGTGCCTACCTGCAGTTAGTCAAAAAAAAAATTAAGATGTTTTTTGATAGTGTAAAGTTTTTTATTTTTTGTAAACAAACGGTTCAAGATAGACCTATTAACCCCTATATCGTTGAATTGGTCTCGATGAGCTCTATCGATATTCATCAAAATATACGGGGCATTCCATTTAAAAAATTGAAGTGTCACGTGATATCTTTTTTTTGAGCCACCCTGTATAACAGCAAATTAGTTTAAAAGTAGCGCCTCTAAAAATTAAGATTGACGTGTCCGAGCGTTTTTCCAAAAAAAAAACGGTTGAATTTTAAATGAATTTATCCGTTACTTTACGGACACACTGTATATGCTTTTAACAAACACAATTACACGTTTCGTTATATTTCGTACATTATAAAAATTATACAGATCATACTGTGAATAGTTCTGACTGACAACGAAACCCATTAGTAAGCGGATGTCAATGTTAGTCGGGAACTATTGTGAACTAAAGAACTATTCCTCGGGAGGAACTAGAACTAATGAACTAGTTCCTCCAGAACTAGAATCCTCACCTCTAGACCAGCTATCTTTAAACAGGCGTAATATTAACGGACTTACCCTTGTAATTGTTGATGGAAGCAGATCCTCTGTCGGTGCGGCGGTACGAGACCGCGCTCCGTTCAGGTATTTATATGGATCTTTTAACGATTGACTGACATTCAAAGGGGCCGCCCCGTTGTTCGCTAAGAGCAGTCCTGACACTGACGGCCGCTCGCTCCAACTTTTTCAGTTACGACTCACTCGCAGCATCTAATCCTCGTATCTCGAAACGCGACGCGAGATCGTCTCTCTCCCAGTAATTAGCGACGCATGCTTGACTTTTTATCTTCGGCAAGCGACCCAATCCGATATGTTTGTTATTCTTACCCCGTCTCGCTCGTCTGTGTCGAGAGTGGTTGTTGTGTTGACACTCTTGTTTTACTATTATTTTAGAATTTAAAGTGTATATGTTACGGTTAAAATCCGATGTCCAGGTTAATGTCTACATTAACACGTTAATGTTTGGGTTTGGTTTTGTTTTTAGTTGTTTTGTTTTGTGTTATTCTCAAGATTAACCGGGTAATGTCGATATTAACCGAATATCGGACCTTAACCGTAACTTATGTATTTAGTTGTAATTTCATTCCAATTTTCATTCTATTTTTTCTTCGTCTTTGGTATACCTATATCTACTTTTTCTGTTTCGTTTCTTGTCGTGTTTTTCGCTATTGGAATCTGAAAAATAAAGAAGTTATTTTTGTGTAAACACCACTGCGTTTAATCCAAACTAGAGATGAGTAGGTTCGGATGGATACGAATCCACGGAAATTTCTCCGGTGCCGGTACTGCTGGATGTAGGTCCTACTGAATATTAACCCCTATCCGCGGAACTGATGAATTGCTGACATAACGACACAGTGAAATAGATGAGTATTAGAGAGTACTGGAATTGCGGTCTTCCGGTATACCGGTACCAGGACGGGTACATTTGAAATATTCCGGTATCGGTATCGCGGTCTTTTACAAAACCGGTACACCGGTACCGGAAGACTGGTTTCAACGGGTACAGAAAAATTGATTCATGATAATATAAAAACCAAAAAACCTGTATAAAACGATTTCGGTACCGGTTTTTGTGCAAAGCTTATTGTATTCTCCTACTATGAAATGAAGATTGCTGTCATTTTATATGTAAAATTATATGGGGAATTTAATCAATGTTCATTTCCAAACCAACTGGACGCTATTTTTTCAATCATTTGGTATAATACGGTCAGGAATACGCAATGTAATTTATTTTGATGTATGTTTAAGTAAGACATTGCTGGTCTAGATTGGTCTAGTAATCTAGTCTTCTTTTTTTAGTACATCTAAAATTCCAGTAAAGCATCTTACTCTACTAATGGATCACTCATATATATTATATAAATTAAAACTCATGCCGATATTCAATAGCGTCTACTCTATTATTTAATATATGTAAAATAGCATCTTATTTCCACTCCATTTATATCTCCAAGAACAACAGCTTCCAATACTTTTTCTAACCGAATATATTAGTAACATATATATACAGGTTGTTAATTTGTTTATTACTCGCGGCAAGAGCTGTATGGTTGAAATATGGCAACCTCGGCCCGCTCGTCGAGGGACAACGCGGCGGCGGGACGAGTCAGCAGCTTAGCTTAGGCAGTGTTGCCATTCTTTTCCCCAATAAGTAACCGTCCAGTTAACAATCTGTATATACTTATATATTATACTTGATTGGATGTAACCTAAAGATCAGAAGAGGACTAAAATAAATCTGAAAATGTTTAATTCATGTACCATTCATTTTTATTCAGTAATTGCCGAAATTTACGATGTTCCGGATAGTTATATCACTCTCCATTATCAAGTAGAAACTTAAACTAAATATCCTAAGCTACGCTATTAAATGTTTATAATTTATATTGTAGTTGCCTAACCGTGAAATTCCCGTTCACCACGGAGATTATGCCAAATTAACGACTTCTGCATTGGATTTCGACGTTTCCTATGCTGTTGGTATTTCAATGCTTCTTTAACGGAAAACGTTGCAATTTTTTGAAATATAAACATTGACTCTTTAAATTTCCTTTTCTCCCAATACCTTCTTGTGGACAACTCTAATCTCTAACTACTTAACGTGTAAGTTAACTTCCTAATGAACTTTCTAAAGTTCCTACTGTGATAACTTGGGTTTAAGGGGTAGTTTTACTCATCAATAAAAAGCAGTCTTCCATTTGAAGTATAAAATAAGCCTATATTTTAAAACATTTAACTAATTACATTCAATAGTAGAAATGCCTCGTTAGCAGAATACATGTTTTGCTTACTATGCTAGACTACCTAATATAATATAATAAATATCTACTTATACTACACTACTTCCGTCCAACGGCATTTTTTTTTCTCATGCATTCTTTCCACTGGTCAAAACACATTTCGGTTTCATCTTTGTTAGGACAGATCTTAGGGTATTGTAAGGATTATTGATATCACAGAAAAAACAATAAAGTATTTTCAAAAATAGTTTTATTGTTGAGAGAAAACACATTTATACAAACATAGTCCAGCTAGGCGGAACTATTATAATCATTTTACTTTAAATATAGATATATTGTTAAAATTGACAACATTTTATTATTCGATTTAAAACAAAACATATTCAGCATTTATTTATATAAAATGATCCCTCTAATTAGATTTAATGTAACTACCTAATAGTTAACGCTAATATTACATATTTTGCAGGGACATTTTAATATCATTGTTGCAAGTAGAGATACTCTTTTTCTATCAAAGCGTTGCTGACATTACAACGATTAGACATATGTATAGTTTAGCACATTTGACCTTGCACCACCCAGAGGTCGAACAAGAGTGAGAAAACACACTAAAAAAAGAAAAACTTTTAACTAGCGAATGTAGTAGTCGAATAGTCGAAACTATAATATTTTTTATGATTGTTTGGTGCCTAGGTAGCCTTGGGTAAACTTTAGTTTAATAAGAAGGAAGAAGAAAATATAAGGTTAATTATTTTATTATATTAAATGTGACACTTTATTTAAACAATAATGAAAATGTATGAAAATTAAATGAAATATAGTGATATATTAAATTAAACCTAAAACTAAATCTGGCCAAGAACAATAAAAACTTAATTTCAAGACATATTCAAATTGCTTCAAACAAGGTTAAGTTCATTCAATATCATAATAATACTTGCAAAAAATACACTCCCATTGAAATCTAATTAATGTTATCGTCAAATGGTGTATTGGAAACCAATGATTTCCTATAGTTAAGACAGTGATAGTGTATATTCCGTAAGCAATAACATGATACATTTTGATTCAAACGCTGTTATGGTCAAGGAATGAGGAAAGTAGTGTATCTTTGTCGTAATGATATTATCTTTGTAGATACGATAGTGTCTTCTCTGTGTACCTGTGATTATACCGTATTCCAATTCGGTGGGTTTTCTCAAAAATATTCTTTACATAAAGAATTCTGCTGAGATAAAATTTTTCTTCCTGGTGGCATAGAAATCACAGTACAAATAACATAACTTTTATTTAAAAAAAATAGAGGAATTTTGAGGTTGTTTGATTTTTTTTTAAAGGCGAAAAAAGGATATTTAAAAAAAGTATAAAACACTAAATATTTATTGGAACCAGAATAAACTTAAAGATTTTTTCTTTATTCCTATTAAAATTATATTCAAACAGCTTAATTTTCTTAGCTGACCACTCATCTGCCTACTCCCATAAATCAAACACCCAGCTCGCGGTCCCAAAAATGAAGTCATCCCGTTGTCATCCAATTGAGCCTCGCAGTCTCCCTATTCCGATAAATTACAATTATCTCGGGGCTCAAAGGGGCCGACGTCGCGCTCCGCGGTGCGATTTGGAGCAGGGGGCGCAGCACATAAACCCGGTGAACCGGTCGTGGCGTCGGGTTAACACTGCACCTAATGGTTGTCGTTTCGAGGAGGATTATGGCAGTAGCTCGTCTCGGTTTGCGAGGAAGGCTTAATTACGGGACGCCCTGCAGGGCACCGAGTAGTGGATGGTGATTTAAATAGGTCATTAGGGTTATTAGTGGCGCGAGGTTTCGCATTAACGTGATCGCGTACCGACTAGAGCTAAAAGTCTTGCTTATAAAGTACGGGTTTATAGCTTTGAAACGTCCAGTAGCAGTAGTAGTAAATATCGTGTTCTAATCAGAACTATTTCTTTGAAATATATTAGAATCTATTTTTAAGTCGGATATCCACTATAATAGTAGCATAAACCAAATTGTGCATGTTTTAAACTTTCTCCTTTTTTAGTCTTCTACAAACCAGTCCTTTTCAATTATAAGGATTGTGTCTTTTTTTTTTATTGGTTGATTTCTACACAATTCCATATCAAAGTCTTCAATAGATTATAGATGTAGACTGTATAGGAGGGGAAAATTAATCACCGCGACATTATAGATCTATTGTGTCCCCTTTTTTATTTTATAACTCATCATACAGCAGAAGGATTTGATAACATGTCTCCATTTCCAATAATAGTTAACAAACTTCCCTTTAATATTGAAAAATGCTCTGTCGTTTCTTACAGTTTAAAACAGCCTCTACATTAAGGTCGCATTTCGTTGCATTTCGATTTATTTCCAGTTGTCTTGACCCACTTCGGTTTGCCTCGACCTACTTTCGATTCTTAAAAGCGCCTGAAAACTACACGTGAGGAGGGCGAGGGTGGATTTTTTTAGCGTTTCTTGTTGCCTCGTTCAATTTTATTTCGTTTTGAGCTATTTCGAAAACGCGGCGGTATCTGTACCCGAGGCAAAGGATTTTTTTTCATAAATCTCAGTAATAAGTAAACCTAGACGTTTCTAAAATGGCTGTTGTTACGATGATATTTCGTTAATTACATCTAGTTTTATGTTGAAATATATTCCACAAAATTAATATTTGAACACGCGTTTATAATATGTAGAGTAGATATTTAAGAACAAAACTTTTCACTCAATCTGCAGGAATATAATTACAATATGGTAGTATTAATTTTATTATAATAAATTAGTACATAAAATTGTATCAGTTACGTTTGTTTACACGGCCTTAATTGATTAATATAATAGTAGTATTGCTTGATGAGTAATACTGGCAACATTATCAATATATCGAGCTGATAGGAAAATTATTGATTGGCCCGATGTTCAATAAAA